GCTTTGAGCATGCAGCTTCATCATCTTCTTCCTCCTTTGAATTATTTTATTATTCTTCTATTATTGTTGCCATAGAAATCCTGGTGAAAACATGCATCACTACTCTACTTCACAATCCCAAATTAACTTTTGTAACAATTTTATTTACTACCAAATTATGAAATTAATTCACTGATTCCTCTTTTCTACCTTTCCAAACAAATTGTTCTGAGAAAAACCCAGAACTCTCCCCTCTGTAAACGTGTGCGAGATGAGTTCGTGTTTCTGGCGTGGGCTATTTTTCAAAGTGCAGTTTGCTCTCGAAACTTTTGCCTTATTGTAGGTTGACCCTTTATTTTTTAATACTGCACAAAGTAGTCCTTATAGTTTTTGACCACTGACATCGAGAATAATAATGCATTTTAGCTTTATAACAATTTCACAAGCAATATTGGGGTTGGTTGGATGGTATGGAGAATCGAAAGAGAGATTGATTGGATGAGTTGAAGAGGTCGTAAGTGAGAGATTTTGAATTTGAAATTTTTCGATTACAAAAAAATATATAAAAAAAAAAATGATTAAAAAATATATTCGTTAAAAAATCTAAAATTTTTCTATGAAAAAACTACAAACCAAAAAAGGCGTCAGCCGACAAATATGACTTTTGGACCAAAGTGGAAAGGAAAGAGAGAAAGAGTAATTGGACCTTCAAATATATTTGTGTGAAGTTGGAGATATAATTGGTCTGAACTAAAATGCCAAGGACCAAATTGAACTCAATTAGCCTTCCTTTTCCCTTTCCTTCTAGACTAATTGAATAATTGAAGAACTTTTCCATCATAATTGCCATTAATCACTCAAAATTAAGAAAATTAATTGTTCAAATTTGTTTTCAGGACATTGTGGACCAAAAATGTAACTCAAAAGGGGAAAAAACTTTTTTCTTTGATTTGCCCCAAGGAAAAAAAATAAAGAAAACGAAAGAAAAGCCAAACTTGGCAGTGGACTGCAAAAGTTGTCAACAATGAGTTCTATTGTTTTTCCTTTTCTATATTTTGTCAATATTCAATTTCACCTAAAGAAGAAAAATTGTAGGTAAAAATCGTTCAAAGCGTCATTCACATTTTACAAAATGATTTTTTTCGTCCTTTACTTTTAAAAATATTCTTTTATATCCCTTACAAATTCATATTGGTCAATTTGATCCCTACCTAAATTTCTGACTAATTTTTGGTCGGAATCCACCACATGCCTTGCACATGATCATTTTTTAAGAACAAAATTATCAAATCAAAATTTATGTAATCCGATCCATAGTCCCTTATATTTCATAAAATGAATTTTTTCATCCCTCACATTTTACAAAATAATTTTTTCATCCCTCATTGATCATGTGTATGAATAAATTTTTTTAAAACTCATGTATATATCTATTTAATTTAACCTGAACAATACAAATAGTATATAATATATCTATATTTGATTTCGCCTGAACGTACTGCTCAGGTGAAATTAAATAGATGTATATATAGGGTTTTAACAAATTTTGTTAATTTTTCACTCATATTCATTTCCTTTTACTCGAAAATTGAAAACAAAGAAAACATTTAATTCTAAACATTATCAAATGTTTATAATGAATTAAATTTGGACAAAAAAATAAATAAAGGAAAAGTATAACAAAAAGAAATAGGTGATTGACACTTTCAAATTTTAAAACAATCACACAATAAGAAATTCAACTGTTAGTCTTAAAAGTGATGAGTATGATTGTAATTTATTAGTATGACTATAAAATTTGAATTAGGATCGATTAATTAGATGGTCTTATTACGCAACTCAATAAATAAATTATTATCAAAAGAGAAAAGGTCACAAATATTGAAAGGATTCATATAGTGAAATCAAATAGATATATATGTGTTTAAAACAAAATTGTTAAATTTAAATCCATGTATATATCTATTGAATAGTATGTATACAACTATAATTAATCTGTTTAGATAAAATCAAATAGAAATATATTATATGCTATTCGTATTATTCAAGTGAAATCAAATAGATATATACATGGATTAAAAAATTATTCATATGCATGGTCAATGAGAAATAAAAAAATTCATTTTACAAAATATGAGAGATGAAAAATTTATTTTGTGAAATATGAGGAACGAAACAATTTATTTTGTGAAATGTAAAGAATTATAGATCAAATTATATAAATTTTGATTTGACAATTTTACTCATAAAAAAATGATTATATGCAAGGCATGTGATGAATTTCAATAAAAAAAACTAGTCAAAAACTTAGATAGGGACCAAATTTAACCATTATGAATTTATAAGGAATATAAAATTATACTTTTAAAAATGAAAAACGAAAAAAGTCATTTTATAAAATGTGAGATACTTTTGAACATTTTCCCAAATTATAGTATTCACTTCACTTTTGTGCTTATTTTCTTAAGGGTTATTATCATTTTACCCCCTTAAACTATATCACTACTAGCAGTTTACCCCATAATGTTATTTTTTAGTCATTTCACCCCCATAAGTAATTCAACTCAACATGTTAAGCAATTTTGGACAAAAATAACCTTTTATTCTATAGCATTACTACATTGTTATTATTATTTTATTCCTTTAAATTATAGTGATATAATCGATTTAATTTCTAACATTATTTTTTTGAAATTTTATTTCAGCGTTAATCTAATTAGTATGGTCAAAAAATTTTAAATATATTTACCCTTATATAGATAATTAAAAATAAAAATTTAGAATGATTATTCTTCTTTTTTTTCACTTTAAGAGATCCAAAAATATAAAAATAAAGGATTTTCTCAAATTTCTTTTTTCACACTTATTAATATTAGAAAAAAAAAGAGATAGGAAAGAAAGAGACAGAAAATTAGATTTTGTAAAGAAAAAATAAAAAGGTCTAACATTATCATATTAATTTAAGGTTGTTGGAAAGGATTGAAATCTGGTGGTAAACAGTAAAGTGAAATAATTTTAAAATAATAAAAGTATTTAATTCTTTCTTATTTGTATTTTCTAAAAAAAGAATTGAGCTCTCTCTATCTATCTTTTTTCCCTGTCTCCCTCCCTCTCCCTATCTTTCTATTTTTTTAATATTAGTAAGATTGTCAAAAAGAAAGAAATTAATATTTTAACCTTTTTTCTTGATACTAAAGAGGAGTAGAGTCACTCTAAATTTTTTTATTATTTTATTATACAAAGATGAGGGTACTTTTTTTTAAAGTTTTTAACTTGTTAAGTTGGTTTAATAATTGGATAAATGTCCAAAAAATAACTCCATGGGGTAAATTGATAATGAGACTATAGTTTATAGGGATAAAATGATAATAACTTTAAGGGTTAAATTTGTCTTTTTACTTTAATTAACAAACTCCGTTAAGTTTGACTATTAGTTTTAAGGGATAATTTCAGAAACATTCCCTGAGGTTTCTGACACTTTCACTGGCACCCCCTGAGGTTCTCAAATTTCACTGACCTCCCTTGATAGAAAATTGGGCCCCTTTGCTGACATCATGAAGGCCAAAATTACAAATATATCCTATGAAGTTGGATTTTATTACTGAAGATGGAGTGTATTACTACCGTTTAGTTGGAGAAAAGGCATCTAAAGTGATTAATCAAACTTAATAACAATAACACAAACTTGATGGCTAATACATGAATTAAAGCTGGATTAGGGAGTAAGGCGCCATTTTTGTGCCTGCTGTGAATATATAAATGTTTTTAAGTAAAATTCAAAAAAGTTACAGTAACTTCTTACGAAAAAAAACTAGTAGGTTATCTATTTAACATAAATTAAATATTTTTTAAAAAAGAAATATCCCATAAAGTACCAACTCTTTATGGCTTTTCTCTATTACATGAACCAAGTACCAGGTTTTATGGACATTTTATTCTGAATCATTTAATTTATGTTAAGTTCATAAATATTTGCAAATAAAATTCAAAAGCCGTTACACAAGTATTTTTAAGAAAGGAAAAGTAGCATGTTTTGTATTTAATATAAATGAAGTATGTGAAAGTAAAAAAAAATTTCCATAACATACAAGTTCTTTACGAGTTTCTTCCATTGTATGGAAAGTACTAGCTATTTATGAGCAATTTAATTTGCATCATTTAATTTATATTAAATACATAAATGTTTACAAGTGAAATTCAAAAATTGTTACACTAATATTATTACGAAAGGGAAACTACTAGGTTTTGTATTTAACATAAATTAAATACGTGAAAGTAAAAAAATAAATTACCCACTTTTTACTAGCTCTTTACGAGTTTCTTCTATTATATGAATAAATTACTAGCTATTTATAGGCATTTTACTCTGAATCATTTAATTTATATTAAATATACAAATGGTTGTAAGTAAAATTCAAAAAGTATTACACTCATATTTTTACGAAAGGGAAACTGGTAGGTTCTGTATTTAACATAAATTAATTATGTGAAAGTAATACTCGCAGGTAATTTAATTAGTTTAATTAGTTACTTAAGTTATGTTAAATAGATAACATACTAGTTGACTTAAGATTTATGAAAACCGGCATTTTCCCTGGCACATCTAGTGCTTACAATTTTTTGTATTGTACTTACACCCCTCAACTTCAGTAATCATTCTAATAATTTATTATTCTTTCAATCTTCTACTAATACAAGGAGCAAAGGGGCAGCCATGGAATAAAAATTCCTTCTCACACATGAAAATAATATTTTAATCAGATTTGGACTGCATTGTTGCCAAAAACTCAAAAGCAAGGGAGGTCAGTGAAATTTTGAGAACCTCAAGGGGTGCCAGTGAAAGTGTCAGAAACCTCAGGGAAGGTTTCTGAAATTATCCCTAGTTTTAAGGGTAAAGTAACTAAAAGATAATAACCCTTTTCTTAAGGGAAAATTAACAGTGGCATCGAACGTTAAACGGGTAAAGTGATAATAACCCTTTTCTTAATTTCTTTACTTTGAGTGTTGATGCAGAGGGAAACTCGAGGTTCAGTCGCCCAGGTGCTTCAAAAATCCGGCACCCGCTCTCTCCTCCTCCTTTCCCACCTTCGTCGGCCTCTTTTGATTCCATGAAGCTTGATTTCTATCAAGAAAGCTAGAGCCCACAAAGGCATGCCCGCCAAGGCCTTTGCTTCAAAGCGGCTTGGCTTCAACCTCAGTTCAATCCCTTGTAAGTCTTCTCCCCATTTCTTGATTCATTGCCCCTTTTCAGCTCTCCCAAACCCACTTTCTGAAACTGAAGGATCCCGCGAAAAAGATGATCTTTCCATTGATTCCCCCAATGCTTGCAAAGTTTTTAAGCCACCCCAGAAAGTTACAGGTGAATTTAGAGTTGAGCAGCCCCCAATTTCTCATAAGCTGTTTAAATATGCTCAGAAATCGGGTTCTTATAAAAGGGGTGATTCCACATTCTATTCGCTTATCGAGAACTATGCTAAAAATGGGGACTTTAAGTCTTTGGAAATGGTTTTTGGTAGAATGAAAAGTGAAAGGAGAGCTTTTGTAGAGAAGAATTTTATAGTAGTTTTTAGGGCTTATGGAAACGCCCATTTGCCGGAAAAGGCGCTAGAGTTGTTTGATAGAATGGTGGATGAGTTTCACTGTAAAAGAACTGTAAAGTCTTTTAATTCTGTTCTCAACGTAATAATTCAAGAGGGTTTATATTATCGTGCATTGGATTTTCATTCTTATGTTATTAATAAGAAGGGTATTAGGCCGAATGTTTTGACTTTTAATTTAGTTATTAAAGCAATGTGTAAGGCAGGGTTGGTCGATAGAGGAGTGGAGACATTTAGGGAAATGCCATCTTGGAAATGTGAACCGGATGTTTTTACTTATTGTACTTTGATGGATGGGTTGTGCAAGGAAGATAGGATTGATGAGTCGGTGGCATTGTTGGATGAGATGCAAATAGAGGGTTGTTTTCCGAATCCAGCAACATTTAATGTGTTGATCAATGGGCTTTGTAAAAAAGGTGACTTGGCTCGAGCAGCAAAGCTTGTGGAAAATATGTTTCTTAAAGGTTGTATTCCAAATGAAGTTACTTATAATACTCTTATACATGGTTTATGCCTTCAAGGGAAATTGGATAAGGCAATTAGTTTGTTGGGTAGGATGGTAGCAAATAAATATGTTCCCAATGATGTTACATATGGGACTATTATCAATGGCCTTGTTAAGAAAGGAAGAGCTGTTGATGGTGCAGACGTCCTGATGGCCATGGAGGAAAGGGGGCAGCAGGGAAATGATTACATTTACTCAACACTTATTTGTGGGTTGTTCAAGGAGGGGAAATCTGTAGAGGCACTGAATATGTGGAAGCAAATGATGGAAAAAGGATGGAAACCGAATACAGTTGTTTATAGTGTTCTTATAGATGGTTTATGTAAGGAAGGAAAACCTTTTGAAGCTAAGGAAGTTCTTTCTCAGATGGTTAATATAGGTTGTGAACCAAATGCATATACCTATAGCTCCTTGATGAAGGGATTTTTCAAAAATGGCAAAAGTGATATGGCAATTCTAGTATGGAAAGAAATGAGAGAGAGAAATTGCCCCTATAATGGAGTTTGCTACAGCGTACTTATTCATGGACTCTGTGAGGATGGGAAGCTGAAGGAGGCAATGATGTGGGGGCAGATGTTGGGTAAAGGATACAACCCTGATGTGGTCGCTTATACCTCAATTATATATGGCCTGTGCAACAATGGTTCAGTAGAGCAGGGCTTGAAACTTTTTAACGAGATGCTTTGTAAGCATTCTGATTCTCAACCTGACATAATCACTTATAACATACTTCTTACTGCTTTGTGCAAGCAAGATAGGATTACCCGTGCCATTGATCTCCTGAATAATATGTTAGATAGAGGATGTGATCCTGACACTGTGACATGTAACATTATTTTGACAATTGTAAAGGAGAAAATAAATCCATCTCAGGATGTGACAGAATTTTTGGATGAGCTAGTTTTACGGCTGTACAAGCGACAAAGAATTGCTGGAGCATCCAAAGTCATTGAAGTGATGCTTCAAAAGTATCTTCATCCCAAAGCATGCAATTGGGAACTTATTATTCAAGAGTTGTGCAAGCCAAAGAAGATTCATGCAGCCATCAACAAGTGTTGGAATAACTTGTTTGGCTGATCTGAGGGGTAAACTTAATTCCTTCACTCTACTATTTTGTTACTTGTTTTTCAATTTCAAAGAGAGATAATGTGTTCCAATAGTCTGTTACAATAGCTCCATACCTGTAAAGTTCCTTTTCCTCAGGAAATCTGGAAGTTTCATTTATCTACTTTTGGCTTGGCGGAATTGTCAAAGAATAAGAAAGTTATCTTGTTAATCTTCCGGTGATATGTCAGTGTCAGGAATAGCATTTACAAATTCATGATAAGAGATAATACTTCGGAAAAGCAGTCATAGTTAAAATGCCTATGCTGATTAGTAACTAGCTAGGGTCTGTCAGTAAATATCTATAGAGGTGACAGAACTGGCAATCTACGATAGAATAATGGTCATCCATGATCTAGGTGCTTCCAGTCCAATAGCTCGTATTCAGTGTGGATATATGTAAGATATAAGTATTAAATTTACATAAACCTCAATTTGAGCAACTAGAAATGCTACTTTCTTTTTTTCTTTTTAGCAGGAATAGTGCTAATTTTTTTATGGAAAAACAACCATGTTCAGATCAAAGACTTGATTTTGCTAACACGGAGTGTTGATAAGGGATACTCTATAAGAACATAATATGCTGGAATTATCTTCTCCCCTACCTCAACTTTTCTTCATGTAAGAAAGCCACTTGTTGATGGATGTTTAGGGTTTGTCGCATTACCTTATTGCATTGTCACAAAAAAGTTTCTCGTTTCAATGATTAGGGTCACTTTTTCCTTCTTTGAAGACTTTTTAGGAGTATTAGGACGGTGCAAGGCAATAGATTACAAAAACTAAACTGGTTGAAGAGATGGTACTGGGACCCTCCCAATTTTGAAATTGAGCATTAATCTGATAAATGGGACTCGCATAGTAGAAGAAAATAAAATTGAATCAACTACGAAAAGATCCTTTAAACAAGATGAAAGGTAGCAAACCCTAAAGTATTAAGCTTTATCGTTTCATATGACAAGCCATCAAGTTCCAAATTTCTATAATGCTGCATATCAGAAACAGGCCAATGCATCTTGAGTAGATTACCTATTTGTTATCACTGCATAATGACTCTTTTACTTAAGTCGGATACTCAGAGTCTTCTTAGTTTTGCAGATTTATTGAGTTTTGGTGGAAATATTCCATCATGATAGTGATCCTGAAAACACTCTCTGAAAAGTTAATAGATTTTAGTGTTTTCTTGTGCTCCGGGTGATTGAAGAGTTTCTATTGATGATAGTCTTTTCATCTTAGACATCACGTTTATGGTAATTATACAAACAATGGTCTGTGAAAAATGTATATAATTTAAAGCATCTCACCATGAATAATACTATCAACATGCAGGGGTTATTCAGTTGGCCGATGGTCTAAAGCTTCTGGGCTGTGTGAGAGACTTTTGTGAAAACACTCTCCTGTGTTTCAGAGGTTAGTTCACACTTTAAGCTGTAAGCATGTTTAATTAGACTCTATTATGTCTATCCAGGATGCATTTCTCTTTGGATTTTCTTCTCCTCTTTTGGTTCAATCTCTTTCCCTACATTGATGGTTTGTTAAGCCTTCATTATTATACATCTCAGTATGCCATATGCCTCCAAGCTGAAGATTATGGAGATAAGAGGTTGTTCAAGAGAAATTTGCAGGCCTTGTATTTTCCTGGTGAAGGTAACTTTTGCCTAACCTATCTTCATAAATTTCTTATTCCTGCAAGTTTTATACCTTGTAATTTTTCATTTTTGTGCTTATATATGCTTTCCTGATGGATATTTTTTGATCTAATCTGTGTGTAACTTGAAGTTTCAAAGGGTTTCAATGTGTCTCAAGTCATAAAACTTACCAAATGGCGCAATAAGTTGGAATCCTATTACATCATATAAGAAGATGATAGAACAAGACTTGAGCTTCGAGATGCCATCAGCAGTAGTTCCACTTGGACATGTTGGAACTTCAAAAGATGCTGCTGAGTATAACTAAGACATGGAATTTCAAAAGATGCTGTCAACACTAGTTCCACCAGAAGTAGATTTTTAAGCTACATAAGTGAATGGGCTATCAATTTTCAAGTCAGTTTTGCTTAGATTTAGATGAAACCTTAAGCTGAATTTGACTTGTTATTTTCTCGGACACCACTAAGACATAAAAAGTTATGAGTACGGTACTTAGGTTACTGGGAAAACTGATACTGTGAACTTTTGCTTTGAATTTTTTTCCATCTCTTTTCGTGCAAGCTTAATTTATTGGCTGCGTTATTCAGTGTGACATAATTTTTTTTTTCAAAAAAAGGGCTTGAAAAATGAAAAGACGAAGGGGATTCCCTTTGCTGGCCAGGCACTAACGTGATGCATGATTGCACAAAAAATATGTTTATAAAGAAAAAGAAAACAACATATTATACGAACTAAGTGTTGCTGAATGCCCCAGTAAAAGTTCAAGCGGAGGAGTTCCAGAAAACAATGATCATAAAATGGCTTTCATGGTGAAGTGAATGGTCTGTGTCCTGTTAGGAACATAATTAGATGCATGCATGGCTCTGTTTTACCATGGTGCTGCTTATGTTTTGTGTCGTCAAGTGAGTGTCATATGCATTATTGGACTATGAGCCATGTGGAATATCCCTAATTATGTGCTTTTACTTGACATGTTTTTATTTATTTATTTTACCTTTTTTTCCCTGTTTCTTGAGAAATGGAAATATATTATATCTTTATGAACTTTTGGCATTTACTATTATCTAAAGAAATATAATGCTTGTTGAACATATAATATAAAATGCACATGGTGAAGTCCATAGAGTTAAAATTTGGACACCTTTTGGGAGGAAAGATATGTAGTGTATTTTCACAATTTGCACAGCTTCAACTATCGTTGCCATCACATATATGAATAACAAATTGGCTCGCCAAATCTGATATATTGACCACAAAAACAAGTACTTGAATTGAATTGATGCTCAAAAGAGTTTTGAACTCATTGCTGAAACCACCAATTACCTCTGCTTGCCAGGAACATATCCCTATTGTAAAGCAGGTGCATTTGCAGCTTTTTTCTCCAGATCTCCAGCTACCTATGTAGACAGAATTAAAAAATTGACTCTGTTGTCAAATACAGCTACAGTTATCATTTTGCAAAAGAAAACCTTTTCAGGTTATTGTTGATTTGTAATGAGAATTCTATCATACTGGTCAAGAAATATATTTATCTTGCTTTAGATCAATCGCTTATGTGCAATTTGTACTTCAAATTAGCTATCTTCTGTTCATTGACTAGTTCTTAAATCATATTTAGATTCCTGATTTGAGCTTGGTTTTTGGCTGGGATTATGGCTAGTACTAAAAGCCATACAGAAGGAGGAAAGGACTTATAAGATGCAACCAAAATCCAGTGAAGAATAAATTCTTTGTGAATGATCAAAGAATCCCTGCTGAAAAAGTGCATAATTTCTACTGGCATGAGGAGGGAGATGAGGCATGCAACGGTTCTCCTCGATTTTGTTGAAGGTATTAGAACATCAGAAGGAAAGGAAAGGACTTATAAGATGCAACCAAAATCCGGTGAAGAATAAATTCTTTGTGGATGATCAAAGAATCCCTGCTGAAAAAGTGCATAATTTCTACTGGCATGAGGAGGGAGATGAGGCATGCAACGGTTCTCCTCGATTTTGTTGAAGGTATTAGAACATCAGAAGGAAAGGAAAGGACTTATAAGATGCAACCAAAATCCGGTGAAGAATAAATTCTTTGTGAATGATCAAAGAATCCCTGCTGAAAAAGTGCATAATTTCTACTGGCATGAGGATGGAGATGAGGCATGCAACGGTTCTTATTGATTTTTTGAAGGTATTAGAACATCAGAAATCGCCTATATTGGTAATAATTGTATTGCTCCCTCTAACAAATTGAGTACGACCACCCACCCCGGCGTTATGAACCGAAGAAGAAGAGGGAAAATTAGATAAGAGAGACGAGCTTGTTAGTCACTGTTTGAAATATTATGTACTTCCTAGTTCAGTAGCGCTCGGGATCCTGAAGGATGCTTTTATGGTGGGCACAGAGTTACTGTCCCTTTGAGGGCATTAACAAGTAAAAGAATATTTCTTATTCTTCGGAGCAACTGTAGCATATCTCATAATGGGAAACCGAAGACAAAAGGGCCAGAGGTGTATCATGCGGAGGATGCTGATTGTTTTGTATACTATTGCAGAGAACAAGGCCTCTTGAATTTGCCTAATACATCCTTGAAGTGCCTTAATTTCGTCAACCTCATTGCAACCTTGCTGAGGTGGAACCAAGAAGTTCAGGCAAATCTTAGTGAAGTTTCTTCGTATTGATTTTGGCAGATGTACATTTTCTAAAAGCTAACTTTGTATTAGAATATTTAGGGAGCTGATTATGAAATTACAGCTGTAGTGTGGTCATTTATGGCCTAGAATTTCAGAAACTTTGTTGAAGCTCAACCTCCCACAAAGGATGAGCTCTTGTAGTAAGAAAGCTAAGGTCAGAACAAGGCTGAACCAGAATATAAAGCAATTGTGCTCTCTTTCTCCCTCTTTGCACGAGTTCAAATATGAGATACTCGGTTCGATTCAACTCGTTTACAGTTCTAGTCACTTTTGAGGTTAGGGTGGAGTTATTTTCCGGATATAGATTTCTTTGTGGACTACCGATGCTTTTATTGCAGGAATTTTTGGAGCATTTTGATAATTTTTTTTGAAGTGCAGACAAAAATGTCTACACTGTGTGCTAAAAAATTAAAGAAAAAACCTGTAGAATAGGTTGAAATACTACTCAAATCACTTCTCGACTTATGCACTAAAAAGGGAAGATTGCTGTTTAGAAATCATCAGGGGGAAGACCACTGTGAGCGTAGTTTATAGTAAGTCTCCTCTTTTCTCTGTTGGACATGATCATATTCATTTGAATTACAGATTGAAAAGTAAAGCTCTAAGAACCACCTTCTTAATGTACCGCTCAAAAGTGGATTTCTAGTGTTCGCAGCCTTGACAAGCAGCAGCCCATTTTACTAGCAAGTTTCTAACTTTCTCTGGAAGGAAGCCAACCATTTTCCACTGCAATTACATTGTTGCAAGAGGTACAGACCACTCTTCAGTCCTGGTATTTAATGTACCTCTCCTGGTGTTTAGGGCTAATATGAGGTGATTGAAGCACAACCTTCTCATGCTTCCTTTCCCATAAAAAGGAAAGAACTATAAGTTGATAGAGGCCTCATTATGCCTTCACTGGGAGCTCAGCCTCAGAGAGCAAGGATCTCAGGGTCAATTCTTCTCAAGAACCTGAAGATTTCTCCTCCTTAAGAGTGGTTTAATAAATGCGACAGTATCCTGGTTCACTTATCACTATCGCTGGTTGTTTCAGATGCATGGCCTAATAGCTTGTATACCTTTGGTATACTGTATTTGTCATGTTACATTGGTTGCTTTCCTCATGCACAAGTCAGATGAATCTGTCTAATAGATACAAAGTGTTCTTTGGCCCCCAAAATCTCTAAAAAAAAAATTCCTTCCTCTCTGTCTAGGCCTGGTATATGCATTAAGCTAGACAAAGTTTGAGAAATTTCTGGTTTAAAAAGGATAGTTTTTAAACTTTAGTTTCCATCAGACAAGGTTATTATTGTGCCTCTATGCGCTACTTCATGCACAAAAAATTTAGCTGCGTGTGGCAACCCGCCTGATAGTGTAGAATATTCTTGATTTGCCACCTCCTGGGGTAAAGATTTTTGTTGGTGGAGAAAACCTCCCAACAACTAGCCAAGCTGTGTATTGCTTCCTGTTGGCGTAGAGGACTTGAGGGTTTAGAGATTCGGGCAAAATGTACATGTATTAAGACAGAAGAATCAAAGGAAAAGGCATTGATAGAACAAAATTAGCTTTCCAAAGGATGTCAATCTCTTGATTAATGGTAGTCTGATTGGTTTTGCTGTTATCCACATTGAACTGCTGCAGAAATAAGATTGTGCTTCTAATGTTTGAAGCACTGTAATACAGCGTTAATTGCTCTGTGACTTGTAAAATTAATCAATTAGCCATTGAGTTTGAGCATGAAGGGGAAAGATTAATATATGCATCTCGCAATTCACAACCATATCAGCAGCAACTTTACACAACCAGGAAACAAGAAATGGATACCATATCTGCCTTTTAACATTTCTAAGGATACTTCATCCTGAACTTGCATTGGATAACCACAGCAACAAAGGGTCTGAACAATTGACAAGCACAATTGTTTCAGACAATTGATGGTTATTATTTGGCTGAACAACATATTCTTTTCCTCAAGTATTAAGATCATTCGCGCGACAGACACTCTTGGAACGTACACTCGTATATTCTCTGAGCGTATGTAGAACTGGATAACAATAATGAGACTGTATAAAAGTTAATTTAATCTAGGGGTTGGGATTTCCTGTATCTTCTTCATCAACAGTCTTCGACGATTTTTGATGAGCCAAGTCATAAGTAGCATGTAAACCAACAAAGACATAATAAATCAGCATTACCACTGTACATATTCCAAACCTCATGAAAGCCTCAGCACCTAAAGATCCCATGAGAAACAAATTTGTGGCAATGGATAAGGAAGGCAGCCACGGAACAAGTGGAACACCCCAGACCTTTGGCTCTCTGCTGTGGCAAGAAAACTGAAATCCCCAGAGTCGCAAAAAACCAAAGAGGAATTGTTATAGTGTAACCCAGCCAACCTTTAGGATTTAAGCCCCAGTAAGCAGAAGTTCCCATGGCGAAGCAATGATAAGAAGTAAGAAGATCATCAGCTTCAAGGCATCCCTCTGAGGAGTTATTCCTCTTGCATAGTACCTTCTCACAAGAAGGGCAACAGACATCATCATGAAGATAAATAGGGTGCTAACCGATAAGAGACTTGACAGGACACCTAAGCCTGAAAAGAAAGCGATACAGGAACCAGAAATGGTGATCAAAAGAGTAGCATATATAGGAGTTCCTGTCACCGGATGGACAAGTGAAAACCATGGAGGAATCATATGTGCTCGCGCGATGTGAGTAATGTATCGTCCTTGTCCAAGTGCACCCACCAATAAAACAGTGGTCATTCCCTTGAGAGCTCCCAGAGCAACCAGATACTTTGCCCAGTTCATACCCACACTCTGAAATGCAACTGAGTAGGCAGCATTTGGGTCAATATCTGTATACTTCTGCATCATACTAAGTGAAAGTGCCATCAGACAGTATATTACTGTGATCAGTGACATTGATCCAAGCAATCCTAGTGGTATATCTCTTGATGGATTTCTTGTCTCTTCAGCCATAGTTGCTATGTTGTCAAATCCTCCATATGCAAAATATACAATTGCTGCCGCTTGGAAGACCCCTTCAGCACCATGGGGCAAAAAGGGGGACAGATTGGTGGTATCGCATGAGCAAATCCTGCAATTATAACAAATATAATTACAATGTTGTTGATTGCAGATGCAATCCAATTGAAGTATGAAGTCTTCTTTGTGCTGGTCATGGCAATAGTACTGGCAACTACGAGAACTACAACTGCAATTGGATCTAACAAGTTATATCCATCAGCAAGATTTGTGTGGATACGCAATGAATTGGGATGGCGATTAAGGAGGGTTGTAAAGTATGAAGTCCAAGCTCTTGCTACTGCTGCATTTCCAACCATGCACTCAAGAAGTATATTTCCTGCTGCTATGAAGGCTGCAAAATCGCCTAGTTCTACTCTGAGGTAAGCAAATGACCCTCCAGCAACTGGAATTTCCACTGCAAATTCTGTGTAGCAAAAGACCGAGAGCATTGCAGAAATGCCTGAAGCAACATAGGATAACACAATAGCTGGTCCGGCATGCTTATGAGCTTCCTGGCCAGTGAGTACAAAGATGCCAGCTCCAATAACTGAGCCAAATCCAAACCAGATGAGATCCCACCAACTCAGGCATTTTTTCATGTCATTCTCACTTTCTTTCCTGACCTCCCCAACTTCATTAGCATCATCAGACCGACCTACAAGACGGTCCTTGAATCGAATACCAGTCTGTGATAAGGCAGACCTGTAGTTACTCCAGCTCTGGAAGGATTCTTCAGGAAAGAAGTCTTTTTTGCTCCATCTCCAATAACTCCTTGGTTGAGCCTCATTGATACTTTCTTTTCCCACTGACCCCATTTGCTAGCTTTTCTCAGTGACTTGCTTTCAAGACTATAGCAAAGCTAGAGTCAATCTGTTGCTTATTCTATGCTTGTGTTTCTGTTGACATTAGACTTGTAAAGATGCTATAATCTGTGTCTTGCTCTGTTAAGGCCAATTAATTACAGATATGGGTAATCCAGCAAACAACTTGCAATTTGATATTCCGCGTGAAATAGTCAGATTAAATGCGTTTCTTGTCTTCTTCTATTGATTTTCCAAGATCCTGTCCTCTTTAATTTTTTCTATTTTCTCTAGTGTCATCTGATGTGGACAGAGGACCACCCACAATATCTCATCCTCATTGCTGGTGCTTTGAATTGCGGTGGGTTTGCCTTCTTTTATTACACGCGTCCAAGCTGTGTGGTTCCTCTCATTGTTTGGCCAAATGCATCGTGGTATCTTGTCAAGTTGATTATAACCTTCTCAATTATAAGCCTAAGTTGTGGAGATGCATGCAATTCTGCAGAGTTTCACACCTCCAAATAGAAGTCAAGACTCATGACGTATTCTTGATTGGTTCAAGAGTTAAAATCACTCTTTTTCAAGAGTTAAAAAGACTTCAGCGTGATTGTCTTGCTATCTGTTCATTTCCACAAAGCATTTAATTTATTTTTGGCTGTGGAAAAGTTTGAACTGGTAGCTTTCATATTTTAAGGCTATTTTATCCAATATTCAGGAGTTATAGTGCTCAATTTTCTGGTTCATATTGCTTTCCTTCATTTCATATTATTTCGATTTCTTGTTTCTTTGGGGTCAGTTGCTTTCCACCTCTTAACTTTTTCAGCCATAAAATCTGAGAACGTTAGACCAAAGATGGTTTGAACCCAAAAAATTATAAGCAAGTGGCATGCTCAGATTCATGTGCATGCTTGCTCTTAAAGAATCCAGGACGAGAAGACAAAAGTGACAGCCAAGAATCTGAACTTATCCTTAATATTTTTCTTTGCAATCGATCATGATTAGACTAGTAGACCAAGACAGTAATCATGGTTCATGGAAGAAAACGTTCATATGACATTAACTTTTCTTTCTTTTCCTGTCCAGTTCCATACTCAGTACCTTATTTATGTGGGGTGAACCACATTAAGAACTGTCTTTGACTTGTCAGGCCTCCTGCATTATCTTGAAAAGAACGAAGAGTCACTATCTTGCCGTCCCTTGATGTCTTGTCTTCTTCTTTTCCCCTCAATTCCTGAAAATCCCATATTCCTAACCATTTTGCCTACGACCACTCTAATTTGGACAATGAGAGATTATGTATGATGTTAATGACTTGTCTGTTGTCTGTATTGAAACATGGCTGCCAAGATGATCATGACCATTTCACACCAAATAAAAATTAAAGAGCAAAAAATAAAAAATAAAAAGAAAGCGGGATCAGATGCCCATAAAACTATTTTGGATTTAAAATTAAAAAAAAAAAAATGACCCCTAATTGGGTTCAATTATTTTCAGTACTCTCTGTATCAGTGTCCAGTGAAAACGTTAATGATGTAGCTAATCATGCTCATTCATGACATATTTTCTTGGAATCCAGCCTAATTTTTTTCTGAATGTATATAGGAATATGATAACAATAATGAGACTCCTGTATATGAAAATTTAGTTTGGGGCAGGTTTGGTTTTTCTGTATTTTCTTCATCAACAATCTCCATAGATTTTTTATGAGCCAGGTCAATCAGATAATGACACAGGGATCAAATTCAACATTTTGGGGTTGGTTTGGTTTTTCTGCATTTTCTTCATCAACAATCTCCATAGATTTTTTATGAGCCAGGTCAAAAGTGGCATGTAGACCGACAAAGACATAGTAAATCAGAAGCAACATGAAGGCAGCATGAAGATATTTTCTTCCATCCACGCTTTCAAGAAGTATATTTGCTGCTGCTATGAAGGCTGCAGAGTCTCCTAGTTCTACTCTCAGATAAGCAAATGACCCCCAGCTACCGGAATTTCTACTGCAAATTCTGTGTAGCAGAAGACTGAGAGCATTGCTGAAATGCCAGAAGCAACATAGGACAAGACAATAGCTGATCCAGCATGATTGTGAGCTTCCTGGCCAGTGAGCACAAAGATGCCAGCTCCAATTAACTGAGCCAATACAAACCAGATGAGATCCCACCAACTCAGGCTTGTTTGACAAGAATCTTGAAGGGATAGGAACAAATTAGACATTGAAATTCTGATCAGTGATGGTCATTGATGAATAATGATACTCCATTATTTATTTTCTTGCATGGGCCAGGACGGATCTATTTTTTGACTTTTGGAACAACAATATGCAATTCCAAAAAATAATTGCGACCCTCTTGTCTTTATAGCCTTTTTCAAGTCAAGGCAACATTTTGGAATACACAACAAGGATCAAAATACAAAAGCTCTGATTTTTACCACTTCCTCTATTTCCCTTTTTCCGTTTTTGGTCAGGCACAAGACTCAAAAGCTATGGTTTAGAGGTGCAGAGGTGCCTTGTTCATGATATATATTTCCGGTTAATGAAAGAATTATTTGTGTGTCTGTTACTTGGGGAGTAGGAGTTTTATAACAAATCTCCTTTTTCCAGTTAAAGAATTGGTGGCCTATCATTTGCACCACCATCAGAGTCTCGTGTCTTTTGTCATTCCAAATTACAACAGGGGAACTTTGTAACTCTCCATCTATCACATTCATTAGCTTTATACTTCAACTGAATCTTGTAATTAAGAGGCAAAGTTTGTATCCAACTGGAGTTGTATTAGGATTTTCTAGTAACCAAGTATGAAACTTTCCACCATCTTGAAGGTAGTTTCCACCTGTTTTGTTTCCCTTTTGTTTACCTTTTCTGGGGTATATGGGAAAGTGATCACAAGTTCACAAGGCATGTTATCACATTTTACATAAAACTGCAGTTTATAGAGCATGTAATCACATGTTAAACTTGTATATATACAAGCTAATAAACTCAAATAGACCAAATGCAACGATACCACACAAATGCAAATATACAAGCTATTGAAGCTAGCAAGGCTGACTACTGCAATCATCAGTGATAACGAAATAACAGTAAACTGTCAGTTTGAAAATGCCGCAGTTTCAATACACTCTTCCAGATTGTAAAATTCATCATCTTGATAGGAAATTAGCAAGATGTGGGGGAAAACTTAGCCCGTACAGGTAATCAACTCTCTTTTACCTAGATATGCTGTAAAGCTAGCATATTATCTACTACCCCACATTAGCAGTAAGTGCAACACAATATTACAACTTATACATACACTGTAGCAAAAAGAACAGGCAGCCACGAGCTTTTGCATGAAGATTTTCTCTTAAGGGATTGAATGATGGTTGAAAGCACTACTTATAAAGGCTAAGATTTTCTTTGCATTGGATCAAAGGTACACCATCTTCCCGCCAGATTATCCTTTCTTCACATAATGCTGCCACAACCTCTTTATACAATTTATGTTCCTAATAATAGTACAAAAAAAACCATGTCATCAAAGATGAAAATATCAGCAAAAAGGTGCAGTGTAAAGCAAATTTGAGGTGAATTACACAAAATTCAAATCACAGTAGAGAGTGTGTCAGGCTTGAGCTTTTCTAATCCCTGTTCTTCCCTTCTATGATTTCTAGTCTCAATTTGAAGAAAAGCATGCACAGTATACATTGGAAGGAATGCAGTGGATAGGGGGGTAGGAATACAGATGATAAGCCATAACAATCGTGAAAAACTTCAACCAGGTGTCAATTTATTCAAGGCAGGCACTAATATGTTTGAGACAAAAGAAGTTCAAAAGCAAGAACCAGTAATGGTGCTAAACAGATTAGCAATAAACTTTTCTTCCGGTAGTCATTAATACATCTGAATGAAACATAGAATTGCATATTTGGCGTGTAAAACCTTACATAAAACTTCATTACCTCATGGAGGACTCTCGCAGCTAGCTCTTCTGCTGTGTCATTAGGTAGCACGGGTACAATCCTTTGGGCAAGTATGCGACCCCTGTCATACTCCTCATCCACATAATGTATTGTGGGACCCGAGTATCTAAGAAACACCGAAAGAAATAACAGGAAATTACTTGCTATATGAAAGGTATAAAAATTTAAATAAAAGTCTCTTGACTGAAAACAGCTAAGCCTAATAGAATTCTAACGTCAAAGATATGTTCTACATCCACGTAGAAGAGGAGTGTATATAGACCCATGATCTGATGTTTCACAGTAAAAATCTCTTCTCACCAGCCACTACCTTCCTCTTCTCCAATCATTTAAAAAAAAAAGCATTGAAAATGGGAAACAAAGAGAAGAGAAGACCAAATATTTTTTGATGCAAAGAGAAGCAAAACATGAGTTTGAAATACTTTAGTAAGGCATACATTGACAAATATCAGGTATCAGTTCAATGACAGGTTATGCTTGCACTATCGCAACCCTCAAATAATGTTCTGACAGATAACTAAGCAACTTTGAAGCTCTGCCATTAAAATTGATGGATTTTACAAATTATCCAGCTCAGTCTGGAAACTTAAACCACTTTAATAGGTAAGGTGTCAAAGAGATTGAACTGCTGATAATACTCGCCATACATTTTCTTAACACTTTGAAGGAAATTCCATCAAAGACAAAGGACTACCAGAACCAAAAGAAAAAGAAGTTAAACATCAACGACAGTGGGGACAGGACTAACCTTGCTCCAGATGCAATGACTGCCTTATGCACCTTCATACTGTAATAACCTTTGCCTCCAAAAGCTGGAAGAAGTGAAGGATGGATGTTCAGTATGGACCTTGGAAATGCTCGAATCAACTCAGTAGGTATAAGCTTCAAGTAGCCAGCTAAGAGAATGAAATCGACCTTGTAGCTTCTGTCAAGTTCATGGCACAGGGAGAATTAAAAGAGAAATGGCGAAGCACGAATAGCCATTAACTTCTTTTTTCTTTCTTTTTTATGGATTCCTGATCTTTCTTGATTTTGCTTTTTCTTTTGTGGGTTAATTCATCTTGTTTGGATGGGATGCCGATATAGAGGATACCATTAGTGATTGATAAATGTACTAGCTGATGACAGAAACTTACTTAGCATGGATCGGTTTCACAATTATACATTCATATTCATCAAGATATGCAAATTTTCAAGGACAAATTTCAGAGAATAATTCATGCTCTTTGGGGAAGGAGAAGTACATTATTATCATCCAAGCCTCTTAGATTACATCACTTTCGTAACTTGAATCACGCACATCTATCTTCATTGCCTTTCCATTTCCAATTTGCAAATATCACCACATGTGAAAACAACCCCTTGAAATCGAATCATATGCCCAATCAATTTCAAACACACTCTAATAACTACCACAGTTTTCACATTTTTCCATAATCTTTACTAAAGACTTCAAAGAGGGTACATGTGAGAGTTGTTGGAAACTTTTCAAAATTTGTATGATGTACATACATGTAATTAATGTATATTCATTAATTTTTGGTACATGTATAGTATTGTGAATGTTTCTAAAATGTACATTCATTTATGAATGTATTCATGTATATGGGAATTATTGAATGAAAGGATAGATTCATGTTTTGATCTAATGATCATGAGATGCATGAATTAAAATGCATGAATGTGTACACAATACTTTGAATCTATTCATACACAATACTTTGAATCTATTCATACAAGTGTTTAATGAGGTCTTTTGTTTCCCAAACAATCTTCCTATATAAAGAGGTCAAGTAGAGAGTGGTTTGCTGCAGAAAATCACTTTCCTACTATCCTTACTCTCTCAAAAGCACTCCTTAGTTCATAAAGGGTTTGTCTTACTTTGTGCAAAAGTTTAAGACAAACAAAACTTCATCTTATCCTAAAGGATATTTGTCCAAGGTTATTGCACGTTATACCGGACAAATAAAGCCTAAAGGAAAGTGATATCTATCACGATTTGAAGCCAATTCTTGTTACTACATTTGCTAGTCATTTACAATTTACCCAACAAGAGTAAGCACACAATTCATCACAGCAATCATATATAAGTTCCAACTGACAAGTTCAAATCAGGAACCAGTCATATTGTAAGACCAAATGCCTTTCATGTACCTCATATTTCTATTTACTGTATACTCTAAGAGGAAGACACTAAAATATGGAAATCAATGTCCAGTACTCTTCTTTTATTTAAGCAAATTCAAAAGCAAACAAGAGCTTTCAGCTAGAGTATCCAGTAAATTAATCCTAAAAATGAATTTAGGCAGCAGAAGGACTTCCAGAAGACATATTTTCACCCAAAACGTGATTTTGAATCAGATAGCAAAAATGCTGGCTAAAAACAGGGAGGGAAAAAAATACCTAATAGCATTTACAAGGTCTTTGGAAGACAAACCAGAGTCATCTTTCACCTTAGGAACAAAATGACAGGGATGCCTTTATCTCTAACGAAGTGTGCACCTCCACAGTCTGTTATGCATAAAAAGTCACAAGAAAAAATGATCAGAAGACAGCATATCTGTTTGGATCCCCTGTTTTTGGGGTGTTTTTCAAATACAATAAAAATTTTAAAAAGTACTCTAAAAGATAACCTAAAAATTAATTTAAATTTTTTTAAAATTTTAAAAAATATCTCTAAATATATTCTAAAAACTCTTCTATTCTTAAATATTTCTAAATAGTTTCTAAAATATTCCAAAATATACTCTAAAAACTCTGCTGACACTCCACCACTTGCTTGTTTGATACAAACAAACATGTAGGACCATGATTTCATTAGTTTATACTAAAATGGAGCTAGAATGCTATAAATCCATAAAGCCTTTATTATCACAAGAATCTTGGTATTCAGTTCATTAATCTCCTTTCACAAACTTATCGTGGCATAATCTTCACAAAACCTTCTCTACAAGTGTTCCTAAACAAAATTGCTAAAGCCTTTAAACATGTATGGCTAGAGGTAGCCCAGATAGTTTGATTATTTCTGCTTTCCCAAATCATTCTTCAAAGATTTATGGAGGCAATGCACACTAGCATGAATCTATAAAGGAAGAAAACTATGCAATTCATATCTAGACAAACCAAAACAAATGGTAAAGCTTAAAACTTCATACAATGAAGCATTGAATACCACAAAACCATAACATGCAAAAATTGAAGTGGAGAAGCAAAAAAATGAAATACCAAGCTTTCAATACCAGGTTTATTGGTGACCAAGACAGAAATGTCTCCATGAATAAAGCCATTGACAGTTGCCTCATGAAGTGACTTGAAATTAGAACCTCCACCAGAAACAAAAACAGCTAGATTTTTCCTCCTAACTTTTGCTCTTACACTATCCTCAAGCACATTAGGACCAACTATTTCACTATGTACCTCCTCAACACTACCTCTTATCCTCAATCTTTTCTCCATAATTGTAATATTTGAAGGAAAAGATAAATGGGTCCTCAAGAGAACTTGTTTTGAACTTGAAAAGACGCAAACTTTAAGGCATAACACGGGGTTTTAGGACCATGAATGGTAGAATAATTTCCAAAAATAGAGCTATGAGCTTCCTTTTTTTTTCCCTCACTGTTTTCTCACAACATTATCTATCATAAATAATAGCATCCCTCATCAAGTGTAGATGAAAACGAATTAACGAAGAATAAAGGTTCAACTATTGGACTAGCTAGTGTAGTTGCAGAAGCCTCTTTTCTCCTTGGGATCATGGACGAGGATACAGGGGAAGGAAGGGCTTTAAAGGAAGTGGGATGAGGTCAATGTATTTGTGCACTGGGATTCTGGGATGTCGAAGGAGGCAGTGATGGTGTTGGAGGGCGGAGGCCGCGGAAGAGGACGAAAGCTGCGGAAGAGTGAAGAAGTAGGGGTTGGCGCTTGAAAATCGAGAAAAAGAGGCAGAGGCAGAGCAAAGTAGGAAAAAAAATTGTAGTATAGTTATTTTACAGAAAAACCTCCTTTAGTTTCAAATCATACATATCGGTACCCCATGATTTGAAATAAACTGAAAAAATCATCGAAAATCGTTAAATTTGAAGCGTTTGATGTAAACGCATTGGAAATGCACGAGGTTGGTTCTTCCAAAAATAGCTTTGTAAGGTAAATTTTGACCTAAAAAACCTATTTTGCTCCTCATGCCTTAATAAAACAACCATGATTTTTCTTCAAATTTGCTCCAAACTTGTAGAAATCGACATTTTTTGCTTATATCATTTGTGAATGAAACTAATGAATAAAAAATAGTTTGTTTTAGGCTATTTTTTACTTATATTGTCAGGGCATTTCTCTCATTTCACTCAAAACAGTTTTTTTAACAATTTCTGTCAATGTTTTAAATTATTTCGAACCATGAGGTACCAAAGCGGTTTTTTATAAGATAGCTACACTATATGGGACTTTTTGTTGTTTACCAAAAAAATATGTTTATTGGATAGTTTTCTATTATTATTATTACTGTTGTTATTATTATTATTATTTATTATCTCCCTTATTTCATTTTTCTTACAGATTTTCTTTTAAATTTTCTCAGCATTCCCAAGCACAGTTATTGATAAGGGTATTCTAAAATACGTTTGAAGTGGCAAGAAAAGAAAAATCAGAAGTGAGTAACCACGAAAAATTAGGATGACTTGAGATAATTAATGGAAGAGTAGTAGCTGACACAAAATAATCTAGGGGAAAAAAATGTAACGTTTTCTGTGAATACAAACAAGAACGGATAGAATTTCAGTTAGAATGGTGATCATTTAAAAGAGAGGATCATGGTGAGAATTTCATTCATTGACTTGAAATATTTTCCAATGAAAAAGAGGATAATGGTGTAAATGTGTTCTTCTCCCCATGCTAATGTTGCATCTCTGCATTTTTTTTTTCCTGGGTAGGATCGTGTATTATTCTACAATCCGATCCTGCAAAACTATTCGGTGCAGATGCAGGATTCCGACTTTATAAACTTTGGTAAAAATTAGCTTAGTAGAGTAACAAAAGTAGTCTGTTGCCACCACAGCAGCAAGTACAGTGACAATTGCAGTAAATCTTTTCGTACAGAAGCTACGATTATAGAAGCAATGACAACCAGCTCTGAAATGGCTTTTGCAATTGAGAGAAACTGGACTTCTATTTGCAGATGTTCTGATTGTCAAGAGATAATTAACTGATATCTTGAGATTGAAGGATTCCTTCTCGAGCTATTTTTTGCCTTTGTTCACAGGCAGGAATACAAAATGTTGGGCACTCATCGGCAAGATTTGCCACAAAGCTTCTTCATCATGTCAAGTGGGAGTTAGAATTCCCCTATGGCTTGAAAGAGAAGCATAAAATTATGGTCAGGCAGTTGTGCAATAAATATACATCTACAAGTGACAGTTTATACCCTCCACCACATCCCCCCACCGTGCCTCCCCACAAAATATAAGAGGAAGGGCGGTGTTGGGGGGTTGGTTTGTTAACATATCTAACAATGAAATTCCTGTTGTACAGAATCCATGTTCTAATAGCAATTTTCGTAGGCATAACATGTTCGCTGTTCACAGATGAAAACTTGATGTTTGATCAATGATGCGACTGCCGAAGTGAAGGTCCGAACTGGCCGGGTGCCTAGGCAGCGAGCTGGTCAAGCGTTCGACCTGCACGGGAATGAGCTGCGGGGCTAAGTCCCCTGAAGCAACTCCGACGATCAAGTCAGAATATATTCGTAAGTAGAAGAGTAGGGTTTACGCTATGAGAAGCGTACCTTGTGTTTTTCCCACGCGTGGTATTTATAGGGTCACAGATAGTAGTCTCCTAGTAGAACAGGGAGTCCTTATGGGAGCAGAACTCTCCCTAGGGCTCCATAACTCAGTTAAGGCGTGCTTGGGCTCTGCAGCCCGCGCGGCCCATCGGCTTGGGGAGACCGCGCCCTCTGGGCCCCCAAGCCGACCTGCTGGGCCGAGAACCTCCTTCGAGCCGAGCTTGCAGGCCAGGCCGACGTGCACGTGGGCCCCACTAGACTAGCCCCCCCTCAAGTCTAGAGTCATCGATCGTGCGCGTGAATCTAGGCCAAATTCCAGGAGATCGTGTCAGCTCATTGTGGGGCCCCCCGTCAGAGAGTGGCGCAAGCAACCGTCGCGTCAGTTCGCGCCTGTCACCTCAACCGTCACCTCGGCTAATTAGTGCGGTTAGGAACGGTTCCCCATAAACTGTTCGAATAAATGCGCGCCTCTTCGCTTTCCCGCGCTGTCGTTGCCTATAAATAGGATCCTCCAAGCGTCATTTTCACTCTCCTTCTCTCATTTCCTCAGTTCGCTCCTTCAATCCCTAGCTCGCTGCCTCATCCTTTTCTCTTCGAGAACACGTCGGGTCGCCCCGCCTTAGGAGCCCAGAGTCAGCCCGCGCATTCCTTAGATCATCCTTTCACCAGTAAGTCCCCCTTTCCTTTTTATGTCTTCTTACAGTTCTGATAGTTCTGACGTCACCAGTTCAGCCCATAGGCATAGAGCAGCTAGCCCCATACTCTTAGATAGCAGCTCTTCAGATTCCTTTAGCTCTTCTCCTTCTATTTCATTTGGACCGAGACCAATAGCCTCTCCTAACCTGTCCCCTGTTAGAGTAATGAGCCCAGCCGAGCGACCTGCCCAACCTCTAGTCGGAGCAGCTGAACAGGCAGCTCCGGATCAGATGGCAGCGGGGACCTCGAGGGGCCAAGTGGCGACTTCGGAGAGGTCGACACTATTCCCCCAGCCCTGGAGCAAAAAGATGTTGACGAGCTGGCGGAAAAATATGAAATCCCAGCCCAATTCGAGCCCAGGGCCGCGCGTCCAAGGGAGGTTGCCAGCCGACCTCCCACTGGTTTCGTGGCGATCTACAGGGACCAGCTGATGGCTGGCCTCCGTCTGCCCATCCCCAACTTCCTCTTTATTCTTACCTTCTGGGGTATTCGCATAACCCAGGTCATTCCCAACGCTGTTCGCTCTATCATAGGCTTCTTCATCCTTTGCCGAACACTCGAAATTCCCTTTTCTCTCGACCTGTTCCGTGCCTTCTTCCAGATGAAGGTCAGCGGGAAGGTGCCAGGGTGGTTCTACTTTGCCCGCCGAAGTGGAGCAAAGACCCCACCCGCGAGCTGTTCACGGGGGCACCTTCCTCTATCAAGGACTGGAAGCCCCAGTCCTTTTTCATGAAGAACCTAGGTTTTCCTCCCCTTATTTGGAGAGTAGAGACTCAAGTCTCAGATCCCCTTCAATCCCCGCTCCCCGTGTCCGAGCTTAGCCGCCTACTCAGCTCGGACGCGAAGCTGGACGTGAAAGAGTTCAGCAATGACCAGCTTTGGGCGGCGGGGTTGATCCGAGCTAGCTCCTCGGATCCCTCGCCAGAGGACAGGCCACTCACCCCGGGCGAGCTGGACACCTGTAACTATCCTGCCCTTCCGTCTTTTCCTCTTTTTTTTTGTATACATGGGCATCTGCTGACCTCCTGGACTTCTGTTTGTGCAGTGAAGCGGTTTTCCTCACTTCTGTCCATCGGTGGTACTACCAACCCGGGCGCTACCACTCAGAGTCCATCGGCCATCCCAGCCAGCTCGGTGCCAGCTCCCATACCTCAGCCAGCTCCCGCCCAATCCTCCAAGGCGGTTGAGGCTGGGAAGAAAAAGAAAAAGAAGACAACTGCTAAGAGAGCCAGGGTGGAGACGCCCTCGTCCCCAGCTCGGGAGGAGAGGTCAACACCTGAGCCTGCCCAAGGTGGCCACTACGGTGTGAACACCGCCGAAGAGCAAGCCCGAGCTGAAGCTCCCCCTAACCTGTGGCAACGCCAGAGCTCCCTGCTCTTCGACCCCCAGACTCGGTTGACGACGCACCAGCACCCCATGCACTTCTGCCCCCAGTGGAAGCTATCCATAAATGACCGGGCTCAGTTCCCCCAGGTGGCGCGGGAGCTCGCTCACGGGCCATCCTCCCACGGGACTACAATTTGACCAAGGCCATGGAGTCATCCGACCTCCTCAACTACTTCTACACGGGAACGGCTCAGGTGAACCTGGTTGGGTCCGAACTGGCCAAGCGCTACGAAAGCCTGCTCCCCCTGCTGAATGAAACAAAGGCGGCCAACGAGAAACTGCTCAGCCAGAACGAAGCAGCTGTGGCCGAAGCTGAAGGCCTGAAGAAGCAACTCGCGCAGGTCCATACAAACTTCGAGCTAGAGCTGAAGAAAAATTCTGAGCTGACCTCCCAGCTGAAAGAGGAGCAGCAGAAGGCAGCCGAGCTGGCGGCTCAGGCGGAAGCGGCCAGGGCTGAGGGAGGCCAGGAGGGCGTGCGGCCTTCCTCAGGTCGGATGACTTCAGGGGCGATCTGGCTATCTTAAACACCCCCGTTCTGCAACATGGGTATTCCCAAGCCCTGAAGGAAGTGCAAGGGCTAGGTCTGCCCGGGTTCGACCTG